ACACCTCTGTCCTGAACCTGGAGTCCCAGGCTGGCATGGTCAGGGTTAACGACACCTCTGTCCTGAACCTGGAGTCCCAGGCTGGGATGCAGTACAACCCCACCCTACTGCCACTCTCCCCTGAGGGATCTGCCAAGCAAACTAAGAGGCAGAAGGAGGAAATGTCAGCCCCGCAGCTGACTAAGCCCAGCCTCCTGCCAGCTGGGGCCAACAGGGTGCCAGGAGGGGAGGGCACAGCTTGAACCCAGTGGCCCTCATCACTGGGGACACCCCTGGCAGTAAACACAGGTACCCTTCTAGAGTTGGCCGTCAGGAACAGCTCCTGACATGAGCGTTTGTATTGGTTAAATGATGAGAACCGACTTCCTCTCTGGTCTTTAAGGCACATCCACAAACTTAGTCTAAAGGACTGTAGGGCAGAAGGTGTGCCTGGGGCCCAGTGGCTGGCACTGTCACCTGCCGGGCCAGCCTAGCAAGTTTACATCCTGGTTAGGACAAAGACACACCCATCTGTGGCTAGGTGGTGTGTACCAGATAGGAACACCTTCGTGGCCTCTGCTGTCACCAGAACTCAGAGGGATAGTTCTTCTTGTGGCAACAGCACTTTCGTGGGGTAGGGGGCAGGGTCTGAGAACCGGGACTAGAGGAGAACAAACCTCATTCCTGAAGTACTGTGAACAAGGCTTCCTGGGTTTATGGGAACCCCGTATGCTATGGCCAAGGTCGTGTGCCTAATACCCACCTCCACCCCTTTAAAACCTGAGGTGTACAGCCAAGGTCATGTGCCTAATACCCGCCTCCACCCCTTTAAAACCTGAGGTGTACGGCCAAGGTCATGTGCCTAATACCCACCTCCACCTCTTTAAAACCTGAGGTGTACGGCCAAGGTCATGTTTCTAATACCCGCCTCCACCCCTTTAAAACCTGAGGTGCGATCCCTCTAGAACAGGAAGAGGTGAAACCCTTGAAGGGGATTTCTGCTCAGGACCCAAGTACAGAATAAGTCAAAGCCAGTAGCTGAGGATGAAAGGCGGGGTTCTGCAGTGTCAACTGGGGCTGAGGGGACTGGGAAGGGCATCTGGGGTAGTGGCAGCAGCTGAAACTAGGTGTGGTTTGTGGTCTGGGATCCACCTTGGGCAAGGATCAGGATGTGTAAGCAATGATTCCAAAGGGCTTTTGTTCCCTTGGAGGATGATGCCTCAGGTCAGGGTATTTCCTGCTTGAAAACAGCAGTTCTGGGACAGCGAAGCAAGAGCCCATACTGTGCTCCACCAGGTTCTAGTCTGTCCTTCACAGGGCTAGCCTGTCCTCAACTGGTATTTGAGACACAGCCTGCTTGCTCTCAAGGGTGGCTGAGCCCTAACTTGAGGGAAAGGATTGAACTGGTTCCTGGCTTCTCCTCTCACCCCTGCCCTGGTCCTGTAATTCCGACTGCCAAGTCTTGAGGACATGAAAAAATCTAAATATATACATGTAAGCTTCAAGCAGTATGGCCATATATACTGGTGCAAGAAAGGGGAACAAAGACCTAATCCTTTGGCCACCAGGGTATGTCCTTAAGTGGCCCTTGACTGCTAGACACAGGAATGTATTTGACTCAGATTGCCTCACCTTGGAAGATCTCATGGAGTGCTAAAGTCCTAACAGCACAAAGCCTGGAATTAACTCCACACAGGCTACACAGAAGAGAAGACCCAAGAGTTCCTTTAAAGGCCACAAAAGCAGGCTGGGGCTACAAGCCTAACTCAGTAGACTCTGGGCAACTAACCCTATTGACTCTCATCCCAAACAAGTCCCAGCAGGGTTCCTGGGCAGCTTATAGATGACAGCTTCAGGGGATCTATTGCCCAAACACAGAAGTATAGGCTGGGGGTAGGCCTGGCTGCGTAGCGTAGCCCCATTACCTGCTGCTGGGAACACAGGCCCTGTAGAGCTAAGGTAGGGTGGCCACAGAGGACAAACCTGTATGTGTCCATGGGGTTCAAAAAACTACACGAAAGGATGAACCAATCTACTTTAATTTGTACTTTAGGTTTTAGGCAAGGAATGGACAGGGACTGGGCACAGGGACATGGGGTCAGAAGGTAACCGAGCTGTCTATCCAGGGGCCACACAGGCATGAATACTATGGAAGGGGGACATCAGCTGCAACTCTTGGGCAGGCGGTAGACACCTGCAGAGTAGATGAGCTGCTGGTCACGGACCTTCTTCTGCAGGTAGCCCTGGAGTTCCTGCAGGTCGATCTCAGCCAGTGCAGGGCCAGTCATCACAAACATTCGGAGCATGCTGTAGATGCGCTCCAGAGAGAGGCTTTCCAGGTTGGTCAACATGGCTTGGATGTATGTCCAGAAGAGCTGGGAACAGAAGCCAGGCATGGTCAGTCAGCCACCTGCTTGCCCCCCGCCCCCAGCCCACTATGGAGCGGCCAACGCACCAGTAGCTCCTCTTCCTTCTGGTCAGCCTGCGAGGCCATGCCTGAGTCGCTCTCGTCGTCACTGTCAATCAGCACCATGTTGTCTCTGTCCTGAGGCCGCTCCTCCTCAATAACGGAGAAGGTGCCAGGGGGCTCCTCCCGCAGCACACCCTGCTGCAGCCACACTGACATCCGCCTCCGCAGCAGTGCCACGGGCATCTTCACCACCTTGCTCAGCTCCTCTAGGGTCCAGCTGGCTGTGCAGAGCCAAAGGAATGCAGGGTACACTGGAGTTTATACCTTCTCCAGTTCCTGGTAGCCAGCTGGGCCCCCGCAGGGACATGCATCGTCCAGCTTGACTCGGGTTAGAAGAATGGTTGCTACCCCTAAATCCTACCCACACGGTAGGGGGGTGAGGGCGGGGTTGTGTGTCACCTCACAGCTCACTGGACAGCAGTGCCTAGCACTGGCCCTAAGAGACGGGTTCTAGGGACTCACCTTGGTCCTGGAAATAGAGCAAGACCACTGCCTGCACTGGGGTCACTGCCACAGACAGGGTGCGGTCAGCCAGCTCCACATCCATTGTCACCAAGCCCAAGGTGTGCTTCCAACTGAGGGTCCGCATAGCCTGGGCAGGAATCAACAAGAATAATCCAGTGGGTTCCAGACAGGTCCAGATGAACAAGGCACAGGCTCATACGGCATGCTACCTGGCAAGGAATGGCTCCTGCACCAATGGCCTGCACCAATGGCATCCCTAGCAGGCAGCAGCAAGAGCAGGAGACTTGGTTCCAGTGCCGGCTCCTGAGCAGCCATAACAAAACTGTGGCACTGCTGATAAACTGTGTCCCTCTCATGTCTGACCCCTCAGTACCTCAGAACGTGAGCTATGTGCAAACAGGGTTGACGTAGAGGTAATTAGTTACGAAGAGGTCATACTGAAGTAGGACGGGCCTTCATCTAATAAGACTGGCATTCTTTCAAGAGAAGGTTATAACAGAAGGTAGCGGCTATGAGGCATAGAGTCTGTCATTTACCAAAAGCTGGGAAAGCCAGGGAGTGCTTTCTTTTAGGTGTCAGAGGGAGCACAGCGTGGCCAACACCATGATACTGAACTTCTACTTTCCAGAACTAAAACAACAAACTTCTGCTGTTTAAAACTACCCAGTGCCCCTCTGTGAGTTTGAGGCCAGCCTGGTCTACAAATCGAGTTCCAGGATAGCTAGGACTGTTACACAGAGAAATCCTGTCTTGAAAAACCAAAAAAATAAACTAAACTCCCCAGTCCCTAACACTTTGTTACAGCAGTCATAATAAATGTAGACTCTGCCAGGTGGTGGTGGCACATGCCTTTAATCCCAGCACTTGGGAGGCAGAAGCCAGCCCGAGTTTTGAGGTCAGCTGAGAATACTGAAGAGGCTTTGGGACTGGACAATAGGGAAGTATGTGAAAGTTAGAGCCTAGACTGGTGGGAGACAACTGGTGTAATATGGAAGATAAGATGACGCTGGCG